AAATATCCGAAAAATTTATTCTCAAAGTGAAAAATTCTTTTCTGAATGCATTTATTTCGAATCAACGCGCAAAATCGCAATGCAATTATAAAAAGGATGCAATTAAACTTTAATACCAATTTACCAGCATTATGGGGGTAATCGGAAAGTGTGGTAATCAAAATATTGTTATAAATTTTTTTTGTTTTTTGCTTGTTTTTGGACCGAATTGTTTCTTAATTCAACAGATTTTTTTAAATGATTTTACAACTTCTTTAATGGATATTATAACGCTTTTTACAACATCAATTCATATGGAAATCAACTCTAACATAGATAAGGACCTTTAAGAAACTATGTAGTTTACTTTTGGGAACCAAAAATTATAAATAGTGCCTATGTAAACTCAATTTTCAACAACATATTATTAAACACAAAACTACAAAATTGTGATACTTATATTTAATGTTTATGGTGAACACTTAAAAGCTTCCGAAAAAAAAAATATTTAAATTACTCGCATCGACGGGTATCTCCTCTTACTTGCTCGAAAGTGCCTCACATCTCAGCCCCTAGCACCCTCCCTACGCCACAACCCCCTCAATACCCATCCCTTTACCTCTAGGAATGGGACTTCGATCCCTCCATCATCCCTCTCTTCAAATGCCATACTCATTTTCACCTTGAAGCATTTACTTTATATGCAGGCGTAATACTTTTCAAGCTCCCTAAGTACATATTAATAATCAGTGTTTAATTTATTTTACTTTATAAGAAGTATACAATTTCTTTAGCACATAAGACTGGCATAATTTTCTTTGGCTTCCTTTTTAATAAATACCTTATGTAGTTGGTTTTAAAAGCGCAAAACTTTACTCCACTGAAATATTGAAAAAAGTACTACTCACATGGCTTTACTCTATAAAATAATTATATTATTTCTGCAATATATTCAACCAAATACACAAAAGCAGGGAAGGTATGTTCATTTTAACATAGAACCTCTTTCCTCACACAAAGCATTATTTCACTAATACTTTGACAAGGGAATCAATGCACCATATGGCATTGGCTATGGTTATGTCTATACGTTCGTACATATACTACATTTAATCTACCAAAATTTATATTATAAATTTTAAATACATAAAGAAATGTATTTAACAAAACTTTTTTTAGATATTTAAAAATTCAATTTTAGCATTTAAATATAATGGAAATATAAATAACAAAACACGTCATACCCACGTTTCTTTATTATTAAAAATTATTTTTAAAAAACTTTACCACCAAATTGTACCTTACAAATTTCTATATTATAAAACATATATATAGTATATATCTATATGTATGTATATATAAACAAAATATAATAGAAAATTGAATATGGTGTGTTTACCATATACAACAAAATTTATTCAATATGCAAATAAGTTGTAATAATTACAGCAAAAAAAAAAAAAATATATATATAAAATGATTTCGCAATATGACAAGGATATTACATCTCACCTTCCACATATCGAGATTGAACCATCCATTGCTTCTTTTGCTTCCACAAAAGCAAAATTTTAATAAAATTTAATAATAACTTTTAAGGAAGCGGAAGAACTTTTGAGTTCTTCGGAATATGAAATGTTCGCATACTTACATTTGGTGCAAATTACTTGCATCACAATTAAGATATAAAAATTTTTCCTATGATATTGCTTATCACATCATTGAACATATATAAAATTACTTTTTTAACACATTTTTAATAAAAGTTCTTTTTATTTCATGGTAAATTACATTTATGTTACAGACCTGTAGGTTATTTTCAAACTTTTAAAAATTCATTAAATATTTTATAAAGGTATTTGGTATACACAAGGATATTAATTTAAAGTAACTTTTGAATTATTATTAAGAATAAAAAAGAGACATTGACTTTATATTATATACAACCTTATGCGTACTTAACTTTAATGTTATATACTTATGTCTTATTGTTTAGCTACAATTAACTAAATAACACTTTAATATATAATTATATCATAAAACTCACTACACTTCAATAAAAATTATTCATAAAGGTATACTTTTCTAATTTTACTTCAATAAATAAATACAATATTTTTATAATAATTAAATAATATAAACAATATATTTTTTATTTACATATGTGGTAATAGTACACATATCTTCACTAATAAACTAAAAAAAATTATAGTGCTTAAAAATACCAACTGAGGCAGTTTTAGAGTTACGAACTATTCCTTAACAACTATTCGTTTCTTTAATATTGATGTTTTTTACAATGAAATTTTAAAATGTATAGATATTATATTATGAAATTAAATACTTATTAATTACATATTATACAAAAACTTAATTTGTATACACCATGTAGAAATCCTCTTTCCGAACTGATCATTAATATGTGCTTTATTCCTGCTTTCTCTGTTTATGTACATTCTCTCAACACTACTTTAAAATTAACCTAAAAACAAAATAAATTTCAACTTTTTATAATTAAAATTTTTATAAAACAAAAGAAATAAAAAACTACTTTACACCAACATCTTTGCATCAAATATCTTTATAGAGGAACTTCTATCTTTATATGAAAATTTTATAACGAAATAAGTCTACTATAGAAAACGATATTAAGACTATTCTATCGGTTTACAAAAAATATATATATGTGTATGTAAAGTTCCATTGAATACATTTTCGAATTGTTAAAATTTTAAATATGAGACTGGGCAAAAAGTAAACGGCGTTTTTCCATTTTTTGGAAATTATTGACCTATAATTTCAAAACATTTAATTTTTAATTATTTTAATGGTAAATTAGTTAACTAACAATAAATATTCTCTTAAGTTTGATCGTTTACACTAGGGGGTGCCAAGCATTGATATGCGAATTGCAGATACAGTTTAATATGTTTAACTATTTTGGTACGAAGAAAAACCTAGCATAGACGTATCAAAAATCATGGGATTTGTAAAAAGTTCCTAACTTACTTCTCTCCTTGTGTTAGGTAACTTAACATCGAAAAAAATGATGTGATGAGATTGAAGACAAGCAACATGTGAACAGTCACGACATTACTAAATAATTCAATTACTACAAGTTAATATATATTTTTGTTCGAATTAAGTCAGTTCCAGCTATATAATCTAAATAGCAGCACAAATTCACTCATTGACTCTTATACGCATAAGAAAATTTTTGCATTAATGTTGAAAAAAGTATTGGGGTAAAACGTTGGGATATAGAAAAAAATTCTTCAGAAAAAAAATTTAATAAGATGATGAGGTACTGATGTACGGAAAACAGCAAAAAATTGTTAAATAAATTTTGAGAAAAATGTGGTTTTCTGCGAAAATAAACAACAGTCATGGTTGCCCATTTTAGCTCGTTAAAAAAAAAACTCTAATTAAATGAAAAAAAATATAATGGACTTCTATTCTACAATTCTATCTAATTTAACTCTTTTGAATTACCGGGAAATATATATTCTTTACGAGAAATTCATTCGAACAAATAATAACAGTAATAAGATAAAAACGGTTTTTCACATCATTATTTTTTTGAAGTGATTTAAATGGAACTCTCTTAAAGGCTCATTATCCTCATAGAGTTTTTTTTTAACTTTGGTTATTTTAATAATCAAAATAGATATTTCAATTTAGTGTTTACGTATTAAGTTAACTTATATTCGTTTCTTTAAACAAAACATTATTTCCCTTATTTATGTTGAATAAGGTAGTAATGCTCTATATAAATTCATTTTTTCTTAGCTTTCAAAGCTTTCTGTAAACAAGACATTATTTCCCTTATTTATGCTGAAGAAGGTAGTAATGCTCTATATAAATTCCTTTTTTCTTAGCTTTCAAAGCTCATCATATATATATATATATATATATATATATATATGATATATATATATTCATATATATAAGTATCTATAACAGGTCAGCAGGTTCAAAAATGATATTATTCTTAATGATCGTTTAAATTGTAACTATAGTATGTTTTTATACTGTTAAATTTACCTAAATCCGCATTAAAGCCAAGTTCAGCTTACATTTGGCCTATAGAATGCAAAAAATAAAGAGAAGAGAAAAGATTTGGTATGAAAAAAATTATATTTATATACAAAGTTTACAAACTTTAGTTTTCTGTACTTTATTATTATATTTATTATATTTATATTACAATTTAAAATATTATTTATTTGTGATACAACAAAACTACTATTTACAATATCTACAAAACACAAACTACCAAAAATAAGATAAAGACAACATTACATTTCAATTAATTACAATTTAATTAATCAAAAACTTACTTTAATTTGGCTCAATTAATTAAAGTAACTTTAAGATTTATGTGTACTTCATAATAGTTCAAAAATATATCACACAACCCTTAACATTATTAGCAAAATTGCAGAAAAGCTAAAAGCCATTAATTGAAGCAAAATATATTTGAACTTTATGCAGACGTTTTGTTAAATATTATTTCTTATATTATTAAAATTTAAAACACTTAATGAATTAAAGCTACAAATTCGTTTCAAATCGTTATATATAAAAAAATTAATAATTAATTACTTCATTTTAAATAAAATTTCTTAAGGCTAATATTCATCCAAAAGCCATTATTATAATTTCCATTAGTACTATGTTATAGCATTATTATTTAGTAAATAAATTGACTTATACAACAACGATACTTTTTAATGAATGTTAGCCTTTAACATATTTACAGTTTCTGTTATTAACATTTACAAAGGACAACATGCAGCTTTAGTTAAAACGCATCGACAGCCGAAAACCATTTGACAACCTTGTTTCATTCAATTTTTTAGTGCAAGAGGACAGAACATTAAGTTGCAAACTACTCTTTTGTTAGTACCAAATCATAAGAACTGTTATTTATTTATTAAATTGCAATTATTTTAAGTTCATATTATAAAAATATTAATTTGCTTATTTTGCGTTGCATTATTTTAGCTATTGAACTATTGAACTATTAAGGGAATATTTTCACAAATATATATGCTCAGGTATTTCACAATATTACTTCTCTTCCATTAAAAAATTTACCGCGGCATCAATGTGGTTACTTCTGTTGGCATTGGATTTTCAGTTAACGCTACCGATTCTGTAATAACGCTACGCAGTCCATTCGTATTATTGTTTGAACTACAACAACCAACACCTCCACCACCGCCAGTGCCACCAATACCACCACCACTGTTAAGCAACTTCAAATCCCCTTTAGATATGTCAGCATGTTTTCGTCTTCGACGCGTCTGTCCACCGCCTGTCGTATGACCATTAAGATTAACATTAGTAGTTTCTTTATAACCACATAATAATTCTTGAAATTCTTTACGGAAATTATCGTTCAGCCATCCATACAGCAAAGGATTCGAGCAAGCCGAACTCATACCGATCATATGGCATACAGCATACGTCACCAGCATAGTCTGTGTCACCACCGATCGCTTCATGTCCGCATACAAATTAAAGAAATTCAACGGTAACCAGGATACACCAAATATAATCGCTATACTAATCAATAAACAATTAGTGCGTTTCATTCGTCTTCCTCGCTCCATTTTTCGTTGTGAAGTATGGACTGTTACTACAGTTATGCGATTTTTCAATTTATTATAGATGCCAAAGTATGCACCAGATACAATCAATATTGGTACCAAATATTGCACACATAATGAGAATATGGAATAATAGAAACGTCCATGATTTAATGGCCAGTCTTCAATACAGAATGATACATCACGTATGCCCAAATCCTGTAGTACTAATGGAATGTCAGCGTGCACAAGTCGCTTATAAATAAACATTGGAGAGGCTAGGACCAATGCCAAAAGCCATATTCCAAATAAAATTGCTACTGCACCAAAGAATTGCAAACTATCCCGCGTTGGATAAACAATTACCTTAAAATATAAAAATTAAATCATATAATTATGTAAAGTATTTATAAATAAATAATTATTATTATATTATATCACTATATATAAATATATATATGTTTATAAGATTAATAACATATATTATACTTTTATGAAAAGCATTTCAAGACACGAAGAAATAAATGGCAGTAAACTTGTAAAATAATTTTATTTAGAAAATGAATCTACTTTTCATAGATCTATATATTTTAAGATATGTACAAGCATTCTTTTTAATAATTACCAATATACGCAGCGTATATTTATCTATATATTTAGCAAATAATTATTAAAACTGAATCCAATGATGTTTTCGTACATGGACATATGTACATATTATACTAAGTCATAACATACAAATAGACGTAAAAAGTCTATTTCTTCGCGGTACAGAAGCGAACTTTAAACGGATTAAATGGATAATAACAGGTTTTTGATTGTGAAAATGTATAAACCTCCTCAACTTTAATAAACTTCTTCGAACAATATCTTAATTTGAAGGACTACGTCTTCGTAGTGCTTTAACAGAGAACCTACAAAATATGACTTGACGGTGTGATGAATATGAAATATTTGGTAATGATGGGAGAATCAGAATTCAGAGGGAACTAAATTTGGCGAATGTATGGCTTGTCTTAACAATTCTTACTTTAATTCACTCTCGTAAGTAGTGTCTTTTTTAAACTCTTAACCGGTACATTGTTTTAATAAAAATAATATTAATACTTTCAAGATAATGATTTTTCACGAATTTTTGCATTGGACGCATTGGAACGCAAAAGCTTGTAGTAATCTGAGTTTATTATTTTACTAATTTGGATTGGATATCTTTTCGTATCCGAAAAGATAGCAGCTTTTGACTGATTTCTCGACACACACCAGCTTTGGAAAAGCAGGTTTAACATCACTATTTAACTTCTTGTTTTGATTAAAAATCATGTTAGTAGATTTAGGTCTCAGCCATAGTGATATGCGATGCCTTAAATATCTTTTATCATATCTGATGTGTTTCAGATATTGTTAATAAAATCATTTCGATACTATAAAATATTTATTGCAACTGAACGAGTACCCTTTTATAGTATAAATTTAGAATCATTATACTAGAAAGTACTATCTACTGAGTAAGATGACAGTAGAACAAGCCAATATCTGTATACTATATTGACAGTACGTGTTCAACAAATTTAGTTAAAGAATAAGTACATCTGGTATTATAATATATAAACAGTATCTTAAAAATATAAGAAAAACATACCTACATTAAGTAAAAATTTGTATACCCAGTAATATATAGGTACATAAATATTTGTAAGCTTTTTTTCACGAAAAATTCGCCCGTCCTAGATTAGGTTCTTCACATAAGAAAGAATATATAAATCATGCAATAAATAATGCCTCCACAAACACAATAGTATTGAAATTTAACAATAAAAAAATTATGATTAATTAATTCAATTATTCTACAAGTGAATTTGTAAATGAAACTTTCATAGCAAATTAACAAAAACCCCAGAAAAATGTGCGATCATAAATGTCAACTACGGCTTTGGGTCAATTGGTACTGACTCTGAGCTTAAAATTTGACAGGGCATGAGTTTGATTCCTTCCACTTGCAGTCTCAAAAAATTATTTACGAATAATTAAATACAAGAATTATTTCCAAGACCCTTAATGATGGGTATTTGACAATACTCGAAACAGCTGTAAGGTTAACCAAAAATTCGATTAATTAAAATAATATAAAAAAGAATTTTTGTTGTTGTAGTTCACTACTTTTCGAAAACCTCTTTTTAAAAAATTTTAATAAAATTATTGTGATTGCTATAAATGGAAATGTATATTTTTATCTGAAAATATTTTATATCATAAAGTTTAAGAATTATTGTGATTTGTTGAAGAGCTTTCAACATATCACAAATACTTTCGTATAAAAAATTCAATATTTTTCGAAATCCTTGATAAAAAGAAAAATATGATATAATAGTAACTATTTTGTTTGCATTTTTTTTTTGTATACACTTTTACATATAATGCTTGGGATAAATATTAGAAAAATTTATATATAAAACGTACTCAAAATGGCAGTCATAAGACTTTGATTGATGGTTTTACAAATATTTATTTTTCTATGGAATGGTAAAAATTTTGAAACTGCATTGCTGCATCTGAGCAACGAAAACCTTATTTCGTATTCATTTCATTCATTACATTCTTTTTTTTTTATTTAATCCTTTTTGCAGTAAAATATCTTTTATTTTCACTAAATGCTGGACAGCTTAATCGAATGCATCAGTTTCCTCCTCTTATTGTTATTGATAGCTATATGCACTCATCAAACAAAAATTTGCATAGAAAATAATTATTCATTTGAAATTCGAATTCTAATATGCATATTTACAAACTTCAAGCAATATAACATTTTTACAACACCCTTCACACTAAATTGAATAAAGGATGCTTTATACTGTTAACATCATTTAACTGTGACAAGGAAAATGTTAGTAACCTAATAAATCATATTATACATGACCATCATAGTAAGAGTAAGAGCAATATTATGTAGTTTGTCACGGGCACGTCAAAATCAAAATTGTTGTTGTTTTTAATCCAAATAAAAAAATTAGAGTGAAAGAAAAAAACAAATCTCGCTTTAAATTCGATCATGAGAACCGAGGCTATCTGTGCTTCGTCACTCAGTCAAATCCCAAGCATAATGCATTAAATGTCACATAAATATAATATATTTATATAATATATTTATGCCTCATAAAGGCATAAATATGCCACAATCAAGCAACTAATTTACGTTAGCGAGAGAAATAGACGTTGAAAACTGAACATTGCCAATTGGCGCTACTAGCTAAGTGCTTGATTATGTTGTAGGCTTGGTATACAATACCCCAGCTTTAAAAAAAGTTTTTTTAACGATAATCGGAGACGTCTAAGTAAAACATGTCTTTAATGAACTGATCAGTCAGCACACTTACTAACCCCACTTTCTGTTGTAGATGCGAGAAAGTACAGAAGTGCCTAAAAAGGAACACTTAGCTGAATGTAAGGGATGAGTTGTTAAGAACGGTTAAGTAAGTAAATAAGGTATATATATGTACTTCTTGAGGATCTATGGTGTGCACCGACCTCTTTTATCTATTCTTAGATCAAATATATATTTTGCATTTTTTTAAGACAACATGTAACTAAATTATTAGTTATAGTTAAAATATCTAAAGGTAAAATTGTTTTGTTTAGTAGCCCCTGGCCTACAATTTAATAAACCATCTATGCAACTATAAAATTAGAATTTAAACAATAAATAAATAAACAAATTAATACCATACTTGAATTACTTTTAGTTTTTTAAAATTTTATTTAAAATACCCGCATCAGTTTTAATTTATTTTTATAGAATAAACATAATATCCACATTTAATTATATGTAAATAAATGCATTTCCATTAAAAACTTAATAAAATTTTTTTTCCAAAAATAAATCTTATTTACATTTAAAAAATGTACGGGGATTTAAAACCAAAAACCCAATATACTCTAGAACGAGAATACGTTGATATGATTAACTATGTATGCCTGCTAACATATGTTAGCATGCTGTTAAATACGTTGAGCGGATATATGTATATATATGTATTTTTTAGGAAAAATTTAAAAATTTTTGAAATTAAAAATAAAATCTTTTTCCATAAATCA